CGACCATCAACCTACGACCAATGACTGCCCTGCTAGTAGGATTGGGATTGAGGAAGTCAAAATGGCTCTTAGAAAGATGGGGAGGGACAAAGCTGTCGGTACAGATCAAATTCCTATCACTGTGTGGTTGGCCCTAGGAGATGATGGAGTTAAGTGGTTGACCAACATCTTTAATATTATTTTAGAGACTGCCAAGATGCTAGAGGAGTGGAGAGAGTCTACGGTGATACCAATCTATAAGAATAAAGGAGATCCCCAACGTTGTGGTAACTACAGAGGTATTAAACTACTCAGTCATACCATGAAGCTATGGGAAAGGGTGATAGAGACTAGGTTGAGACAGATTACTAGGGTTTCGGAAAACCAATTTGGCTTTATGCCAGGCAGGTCTACAATGGAGGCAATTCATCTACTTCGACGGCTTATGGAGAAATATAGGGAAAAAATAGAGACCTTCACATGGCGTTTATTAACCTTGAGAAGGTGTATGATAGTGTTCCCCGCGATACGATCTGGAAGACCTTGGAAACGAGACGGATCCCAACTGCTTATATCCGGGCGATTCATGATATGTATTGTAGATCTACTACTTACGCCAGGACGACAGTTGGCAACATCGAGGCTTTCCCGGTGGAAATCAGACTCCACCAAGGGTCGACTCTTAGCCCTTACATCTTCGCCTTGATTATGGATGACATCTATTGTGCGACACCAGACGGTGTTCCATGGTGTATGCTTTTCGCTGACGACATTGTCCTAGTTGCTGAAACAAAGAATGAGCTAAATAGTAGACTGGCTACTTGGAAGACTGCTTTGGAAGAAAAAGGTTTAAGGATCAATATTGAAAAGACAGAGTATTTATGTTCAAACTTCAGTGGGAACCAAAACGATGAAAATGGAGAAGTATGCATCGAAGGACACGCTCTCCCCTCAAAGGATTGTTTCAAATACCTGGGGTTTATGATACATAAAGATGGGGGTATAGATGATGACGTTACACACCGTATAAAGGTGGCATGGCTAAAGTGGAGGGCTGTAACTGGAGTTTTGTGTGACAAGAAGGTGCCTCTAAAACTTAAGGGAAAATTTTATAGAATGGTAATAAGACCAGTGCTGCTGTATGGATCAGAATGTTGGGAAATCAAGAAGGATCACATAAGGAGGATGAAAGCCGCAGAAATGAGAATGCTTCGATGGACATGTGGTAGGACTCTGAGGGACTTGACACCAAACTCTGCAATTAGGAAATCCTTGGGGGTGGTGCCTGTATCCGAAAAATTGAGGGAGGGAAGACTACGGTGGTTTGGGCATGTCCTTAGGTGACAACCGTCGGATGCGGTCAGAAGGGTAGAGTTGATTATAGTCGACGGTGCCAGAAGGAGAGGACGACCAAGGAGGAAGTGGGTTGACTACTTGAGATCTGATTTGAAGGAATTAGCTCTTACCGAGGACATGACCTCTGATAGGAAAGTATGGAGACTCAAGACCAGGGTACCCGAGTAGTGTAGCATCTCTGACTTTTTTTAATGCCTTTATAGTAATCTCCATGACTTCTACTTTTTATATGTTTCTGTCATGGGAATTTATGAAGGCTTAGAACTAGGATAACGGAGTAGTGTTGCCTTAGTTTAGGATTTAACCCATTTGACTTTATTCCTTCTTGTAGCTTGCTATCGCTGACTTCTGTGTATCATTCTCTTCTTGTTTCCTCTATTTAAATTTAACCGGGACTTACGCTTCTATCTAGAAGCAGAGATTTTTACGCAGGGATTTATTTGCATGGATTACTTTCTATTACAGACGTGCATATGAAGATTGCATATGAAGACTGTTCAACTGTGTATTTATTGATTTATTTATGCATGCATTATATTTTATCTTTATTTTTAATTATCTTACTATCGGAGGTCTTCCACAGAAGCTGCTCTTAATCTGGCGTTGGGGGGCAGCCTACTACCCCACTTCTCCCTTACCCCATTGTATATGGGAATAGGGTTTTTGTTGTTGTTGTTGTTGTTGTATTAATCTAGAAAATATATATTATATTACTTTATATTTTATATGTTAGAAGAGCATAATTTATGCTCCTATCTATTAAATCTATCATTTATTGTTTTTTAGTTATTAAACTTTTTAAAATTTTGATCATTATTATTTTAAATAATTACTTTTTATAAAATATATAATTAAAAATTAATTAATTTTAAAAATATATTTATTAATAAAAATTTAAATAATAATAAATCAAAGTTAAAAAAATTGATTACTAAAAATCAATAAGTGATAATTTTAATAAAACAAATAGAATAATTGATAGTGAACTATCTTTAACACATTACTAAAATCTCTTAATAATGACAAGAGAATATTAGTTTTTAACTATTAACTAAAACTTTTTATACATAGCATCATGTAGTTTTCTGATTTTATTATTAATGTTAATCATATATATCACAGATGGAAAAGACGAAATAAACTGCAAATTGCATGCAAATAGATGGCCGGAGACACGTATGTCCAAAAGGAAAAGGGTTGGGATCTCAAGTGTGGACTACTCTTATCTCTTATAATTATAAATAAATTGACTTAAATAGATAACGGGACAATAAAAGTTTTATTTTCGTTTTAACTGCTTGATTAATTTAAGGGTTAATGTACCTTTTGACTCATGATTTAGCTTTGATCTACAATTTGCCCCCTAACTTTTTTGGGTAAAATTTAGCTTCTAACTTTGGCTTTGAACCATAATTTGACCCCTAATTTTGGCTTTAAACTATAATTTGCCCCTTGCTATTTTTTTATGCAATAATATCTCTGATTTTAATTTTGATATGTAATTTGATATCTGATTTTTTATAATTTTAAAATAATGATTTACATTTTGTTTATAAATTAAAAGATATTTAAAGTGTTAATATTTATATTTAAAATTTTAATTTAATATAAATTTAAATATTTAATTAAGAATAAATCTATATTGAATAAGTCAGCGGCTAAATGACATATCAAAACTAAAATCAATTGTTAAATTATATATTAAAGCTAAAATAAGAAACCAATTAATACAATCACTTTCTTGGTTTAAATACATTAGTGTGTATGTATAAATGGTTTAAATACACATCTGGACAGTTATTCTATTATAATTTAAAATTCAACAATAATCGATATTTAATTATTTTAAATTAGAAAAATGAATACTAAATAGTTCTAAATGATAAGATTCCCATGATATTATATAAACCGTTGAATCATTATATTCATGCATTTTGCAATAGGGAGTGTCATGTAGCAAACAAATAAAATTATGGATAAAACGTCACGAAATAAAATAATTATATACTTTAAAAAATAATTAATTTAATGTTGTTATTGATGCATGGATCTAAATGTGCTGTGGGGACTATGTAACATCCTTAATACCAGGTTAGTGACCAAATTGTAAAATTTCAGGAATTGGTGATTAAGTGGGATAATTGAATAGTTCAATGATTTATTGGAAATATGATGAAGGTTATTTAGTAATTATTGAATGAAGTAAAGGGTAAAATAGCCATTTGACATGGAAGATTTTTATTTTCCTTTATTAGATAAGGAAGCCACGAGGAAGAGAAAAGAAGGCAAAATAAATTTTCAGAGTTCTCTTCTTCTTCTTCAGTCGTGAGTCACCATGGCAAAGGTGAGTTTTGTGGTTAGTTGATTATTTGTTAAAATAAAAGTTGGTTTATGATTATTAGATGATAACTAAGCTTAAGGAAAGCTTAAGTTATCTTAAAATCAAAGTATGATAGAGTTAAGAGGGATTAAAGATTTGAGGTTCTTGGTTAAAATCTTGAAATAGAGTTCATAACTAGAGTTGGAAGTTAAATTTGACTTGTCAATGGTCTAATTAAGAAGTTAGAAGCCATAGAATTGGAATTAAAACATATTGCAAAGTTGGTTTAATTCTTGAGTTACATATGAGGAAAAGAATTTTGAAGATAAAGATGGTTTATATGGATATAAATTGGTTTAAGCATGTGTATATGAGTTGAGAACATGAAAGGGGTTGAAAGATGAAGCATTTGAGTTGATTTGAGTAGATTTTCGGGCTTAAAAATGAATTCTGGGCTATATGCATCGATGCACATTCAAGGTGCATCGATGCACATTCAAGGTGCACCGATGCATCAAGGGTAAATTTCCAGAAATTGTTCAGAGTGTATCGATGCAAAGGAAGTGCATCGATGCACCCATTAAAAATGGAAACATCGAATGCAATTAATGCATCGATGCATAAGGAGTGCATCGATGCACATGTTAAGGGATGCATCGATACACTGTAGAATGCATCGATGGACTTCAAGGGAAATAGAATTACACCTTTTCTTTTGGTCTAAGAAATGATATATTAGTGTATATCAATTGGATACTAATATGTATCAATGTATGATTATATAGATATCGAGCACGAACAAGTCCCAGAGCGATTATCAAGTTATGATTCGATCGCAAGAGAGAAAATTATAAAAATGGATTGGAACTTAGTGAGGCCAAGGTGAGTGCGTATTATTTTATATATGATGTTTAATGGGAAATAAGACTTGCGACAAGTCTAATTTCTATAGTATTGTGCATGAAGCAGGAACATGAACATGTGTTTGTTATGAGTGTCTGAGTTATATGTTATAGTATGTGTTGACATGTTATTGTATATGTATTTCATGGAATAAGTTTTATGTAAAAATAAATTTTAAATTACTCACTATTTTATACAAGTAAAGGTTTTTGAAAAGTCAATGTGACACTTCGGACTCGGATTCGGGTCGGATACGGGTTGGAGGCGTTACAGACTACTTACTGAATCAACTGTTTAAGCACCCAATTGCCCGTCTACCAAAACGGGCAGAAAGATAAATACCTTGTCTCGGTTCTATGTTTCTTAGTGATGTTATTGATCATGAACATATAATGTACATCAATCGGTCAATTTTAAAATAAATTTCGACAAGGGATGACCACCTCTAAAATTAGTTTGTTATTATGTGGATAAGATGGAATATGGTGAACAAGTGTCACCATAAGGACGTTAAAAAGATTAAATGAATTAGTGAGAATTTGTAAAAGAGTTCAAGGATAAGTGCATCAGTAACAAGTGTATAAGGTATATAAAGCCAGAGCTCATGAGTTTGAAACGAAGGGATAATATTGGGTATAAGCAAGAGTGTGGATATGATTAAGAGAATTGGTGCTTCATAGAGTTCAGTACCATCAAAGAGAGTCAGCCAGACTCAATTAGTATGGTCTGGTACTGAAAGATTAAACAATGATTTAATTGATAATAAACCAAGGTTAAAGACAACCTTTGTGAATTAGATTAAAAGTTCTGTTAGAGTTATGAAAGTTGAAGCGGGAAAAGTGTTATAAAGGGGTGAGATGAGTATTGAGATTTGGTAATTGTTGAAATAATTCCAATTGCAAAGAATGTATATGAAAGGTTAGATGAAGGTTTTCGCTTTAGATTAGAAGAATCGATGTTGTTTAACAGAGTTATGAAGTTGGAGTATATTAAGTTAAAGGATTAGAAGCTGATGAAGGAAGATACAATTATAAGAAGATTTTGATAATAAAAGGATAAATGGATAAAGAAATGAAAAGATAGTGTTTAAAGGATTAAATATGATAAAGGGTTATAAGGAAGTGGAGATTATAAGTTTGATTAAAAGTAAGAAAAGTATGTAAGGTTATATGAAGAGATTATGTGTATCGTAATACAGACAATGATGAAAGAATGAGTAAAAGTTTGGATTGTAGTGAATTAATTAGAAAATGAGGAAAGAAATCAATTGATTGATTTTTGATTTTGAGTGATAAGAATTGATGTTATTGTCTACAGGATAAGTAACATTATATGAATGAAATCAGAGTTATGAATTTGAAACAAAGGGATGGATTTATGATATAGAGTGATGAGATGGATGTTATTGTCAACGTGATGAGTGACATTATATGGAATTTTAGAAAGGTCAAAGGGAAAATACATAATCGAATGAGAGAAAAGACAATAATGGATTGGTATTACTGGTTATTGTTTATATGATAACCAACAGAAGATGAATGTATAAATGAAAAAGATAGTTGGAAAAACTAAAGGATTGAAAAGTAAGTTTCTGATGATGACAACAAAGAATAAGTCAGGGAAGCAATATAAGAACATTAGAAGATATGTTCTTATTAAGATGTGCAGTGAAAATTCGAGGACGATTTTTCTTATAAGGAGGGGAGAGTTGTAACATCCTAAACTATGGGTTAGTGACTTAATTGTAAAGTTTCAGAATTTGATGATTAAAATAGAAGAATGAATTAGTTCAATGATTTATCTGAAAATAAATCCTAAAAGTTGTTAGTAATTATTAAAGGATTTTAAGGGAAAAGTGGTCATTTGACTTGGAAAGGATAAAATAATGATATATATGGGATAAGATTGAGAGATTTCTCCAGAAACTCTCTTTTCTTCTTCTTCTTCCTCTTCTCCCGTATCTCCAAGCTCAAAGGTGAGTCTTCTACTTAGTTAATTATTTGTTAAGCTTAAGATTAGGTTTTGATCATTAGATGATAACTAAGCTTAAGGAAAGCTTAAGTTATCTTAAGATCAAAAGATAAAGGAGATAGAGAAGATTAAAGATTAGAGGTTCTTGAATGAAATATTGGAATAGAGTTCATAACAAGAATTGAAAGTTGAATTTGACTTGTCATCAATCTAGTTAAAATATATGAAGTGTTAAAAGTGGAATTCAAACATGTTGGATTATTGATGTAATTCTTGAATTACATATAAAGGATAGGACTTTGAGATTTAAGATGAAATAAATGAGTATAAATTGGTTTAAGTATGTGTACTAGAGTTAAGAATGAAAAAGGGGATGAAACATGAAGGATTTAATCCAAAATGAATGATTTTCGGGTTCAAAAAGAGGATTCTGGGCAGAGTGCATCGATGCATATTCATTGTGCATCGATGCATCAAGGTTAAAACCCAGAATTTGTTTGAATGTGCACCGATGCATTGGTAGTGCATCTGTAACATCCTCAATACCGGGTTAGTGACCAAATTATAAAGTTTCAGAAATTGGTGATTAAAGTAGGATAATTGAATAGTTCAATGATTTATTGGAAATATGATGAAGGTTATTCAGTAATTATTAAAGGAAATAAAGGGTAAATTGGTCATTTGACCAGAAAGATTTTTTTTATCTTTCTTTTAGGGTTATAAAATACGTGGGAAAGGAGAGAATTATCCAGAGTCTTCTTCTCCAGCTTCTTCTTCTCCCCGTAAGCCTCATTTAAAGGTGAGTTTAATTTCAACTGTTTAATTCTTGGATTTATAAGTTGATTTTGATTCTTGGAGTATTATATAAGCTTAAGGAAAGCTTATATAAGCTTTAAACATCAAGAATAGAGAATTAGAAAGGAAATGATATGAATGGTGTAGAAATGAAATTTTGTTATAGAAAGGTTTTTGTAGTTCTAAAGATGGATTTGACTTGTCAAGGGTATAATTAAAAAGCTAGAAGCAATAGAATTGAATTTGGAACATGTTGAAAATTTAGTGTAATTCTTGAATTACATATGGAGAATAGGATTTTGATGTTAAAGAGGTGATTAATGAATAGGAATGAGTTTGAATATGAGTATGTAAGTTAAAAATAAGAAAGGGGATGATATATAAAGTATTAAGCTGAAAAGAGTGGATTTTCGGGCATAAAAGAGGATTCTGGGCAGAGTGCATCGATGCACATTCATAGTGCATCGATGCATCAAGGTTAAAACCCAGAAATTACTTGAAGGTGTATCGATGCATTGGTAATGCATCGATGCACTCTTTTAAAATAGAAACATCGAATGCAATTAGTGCATCGATGCATCCCAGTAATAATACAACATCGAATGCATTTTATGCACCGATGCATCAGTAGTGCATCGATGCATACCTTCATTAAAAGATGAAATTGGCTTTTCTCTGAGCCTAAGGAGTGATAGTTTCGAATATATCAATCAGTATACTAATAAGTATTAATGTATTATTATGTAGATATAGAATGAAAGCTTGTTCCGGAACAAACTAAGGATTAGGATTGATTCAAACAACGAGGCCCAGGTGAGTGCAATTTAAATTGTACTTATGTATCAAATAAACATTGGCTTGCGATGAGCCAGTGATGGAGTCACTATGGTAAGAAGGGACTCCTAAAAATGTTATTTGAATTGTGATTCTTATGTTTGCATGAGTGCATGAAAATGGGTACATATGTTATATGTATTGCATATGTTACATGAATTGAATGAATATATGTTAGTGTGATAAGTTATGTGAACGGGTTTAAATAGTATATGTGATTATATAAGTTTATAATATAAATATGTGATATAGGACATAAGTTAAAGAACTATATGATATTAGATAAGATAAGCATATGCTATTATAATTGACTATAGGATCACGAACTATGTAAAAATAGCAAGGACTTATGTGATAGCAAGAGAAAATGATATAAAATAGATGATATTGATATAAATGATAAGTTAAACGACATAGACATATGTGATTATATGAAAAAGAATATAAGTTATGTGATTATGAACATGTGGATATAGGTCTAGTTGAAGATATAATAACAAGATATAAATTACACGAGTTAAATATATGACAATTAGTATAACCAACTTATGCGATGAAATGAAAAGTGAGACAAGTTAAATAACATTGACCTATAGGACAATATAAAAATAATATATAAATTAGGAGACATTGACAGAAGTGATTATATGAACATGTAAGATAAGCTATATGAGAAGAGTTATGGGCTTAAATGAACATATAATATATGAGTCATATAGTAAAGATCTATGAAGCTATAGGAAGATGTTATGGGAGTTATGTGATGATAAGTTATAAGAATATATATAGGTAACAAGTTATGTGAAATTGAATTAAGTAAATATATGAAACTAGGATATAAATAATGTGAGATAAGTTATAGGGCATTGATATACGAACTATATGAAAGTATGTACATGAATATTTGTATAAGTTTATATGTTATTCTATGTGATATATGATGTATATATGAACATATGTGAATAAGATATGACATGTGTGTTTACATGAAAAATGAGAAATGATATAATCCATATGAAATGATCTACGTGATTACATGTAATACGTGATTACATGCACTTGAGATAAAGGTTATATGATATGAGATGTACGTTCACACATACATATGGTATGTGACGGAAGAAAAGGAACAAGTGATATGAAACATAAGAATAATGCCCATAGTATATGATATGAGAGCTATAGGTATAGTTGGCATTCCAAGAGTCGAGGGTTCTACGCGGTCCTTCGGGATATATATATATTCTGTGGAACATGTGTGAAGTCTTGTAAGACACATACTTGATCCCTAGTATATATATATTATTCTTAAGGAATAATATGTGGTCCTTATGGACATTATTATATGGCACTACGGTGCAATTCTACGCGGTCCTTCGGGATATATATATATTCTGTGGAACATGTGTGAAGTCTTGTAAGACACATACTTGATCCCTAGTATATGTATATGATTCTTAAGGAATAATATGTGGTCCTTATGGACATTATTATATGGCACTACGGTGCAATTCTACGTGGCACTTCGGTGCAATTATACGAGCTGTGGTGACAGCATTAGTGCACAACCTCAATGTACTCACATACCTCTATTCTCAATAATATACATGGGCAATTGAAATACAAACTTTAAAGTGAAAGTGGTACAAGAAGGTAAGTTTCGTATGTGCATGATATGATTATATATGTTATCATGTAATAGATACATGCATATTGAAATGTCATGATCAAATATTTAGAATACATATTCATCGGATGAAATGGGTATTGATTGGAAAAATTTATGATATTATATGATAGATATGTTAATGATAATGATAGTATTTGTACAGGTATGTGTTTTGTTATATGAAA